TTCCTGACGCCCTGTCAGTGCTGAGCCCTTCCAGGGGGGGGTTCAGTGGGACACAGGGGTGGGGAGGACGAGGCTGTGGGGTCATTCCAGGTGGAATTCCAGCCCCATTCCCACCCTTTTTCCCTGCACAGGACGAGAGTCACTCGGAGTGGGTGTCCTGCGTCCGCTTCTCCCCCAACAGCAGCAACCCCATCATCGTGTCCTGTGGCTGGGACAAGCTGGTCAAGGTGAGTTCTGAGGGATGGGGATGGATCCCACCCCAAAAATCCCGGGATTTGGGGTCGAAGGAGCCGCCTTTGACCGTCCCCCCGTCCCTATTCCAGGTGTGGAACTTGGCCAACTGCAAACTGAAGACCAACCACATCGGGCACACGGGGTACCTGAACACCGTCACCGTGTCCCCCGACGGCTCCCTCTGCGCCTCTGGGGGAAAGGTACGGCCCTACAGACCCCAAAAGGGAGGGGGACACCCCTGGAGTAGGACATCCCGGAAAACTCAGCTCGGGGTCAGGGACACCCTAGAAAATTCACCCCGGGGTCAGGGACACCCCACAAACCCCATCCTGGAGTGGGACACCACAAAACACTCACCCCAGGGTCAAACACACCCCAAAAACCTCATTACAGGGGTGGGACACCCCAAAAACCTTCCTGGGGTTCCTCTTGGAGCTCTGGGGACTCTTGGAGATCCTCCTGGAGCTTTGGGGACCCTCCTGGAGCTCTTGGAGCCCCTTCTGGAGCTCTGGAGCCCCTCCTGGATCTCTTGGAGCCATTCCTGGATCTCTGGGGACCCTCCTGGAGCTCTTGGAGACCCTCCTGGATCTCTGGGGATCCTCTTGGAGCCCCTCCTGGAGCTGTGGGGACCCCCTGGACCTCTGGGAATCCTCCTGGAGCTCTGGGGACCCTCTTAGAGACCCTCCTGAAGCTCTGGGGACCCTCTTGGATCTCTTGGATCCCCTCCTGGAGCTCTGAGGATTCTCCTGGAGCCCCTCTTGGATCTCTTGGAGTCCCTCCTGGAGCTCTGGGACCCCTCCTGGAGCTCTGGGGACCCTCTTGGAGACCCTTTTGGAGCTTGAGGCCCCCCCTGGAGCTCTGAGGACCCTCCTGGAGCTCTTGGGGACCCCCGTGTTCCCCCCAGGACGGTCAGGCCATGCTGTGGGACCTGAACGAGGGGAAGCACCTCTACACCCTGGACGGGGGGGACGTCATCAACGCCCTCTGCTTCAGCCCCAACCGCTACTGGCTCTGTGCTGCCACCGGGCCCAGCATCAAAATCTGGGTACGGAGCACTGGGAGACACTGGGATAGCTGGGAGGGATGGGAGGGACTCCTGGGATAGGTGGGATGGATGCTTGGGATACACTGGGATGGATGGGAGGGACACCTGGGATAGCTGGGATGGATGGGAGAGATGCCTGGGATAGCTGGGATGGATGGGAGGGACCCCTGGGTTACACTGGGATGGATGGGAGGGACACCTGGGATATCTGGGATAGGTGGGAGGGACCCTTGGGGTAGGTGGGATGGATGGGAGGGACACCTGGGATTGGTGGGAGGGATGAGATAGATGCCTGGGATAGGTGGGATGGCTGGGAGGGACACCTGGGATAGGTGGGATGGATGGGAAGGATAGCCTGGGATAGCTGGGATAGATGGGAGGGATGCCTGGGATAGGTGGGAGGGATGGGAGAGACACGTGGGATGGTTGGGATACACTGGGATAGCTGGGAGGGACCCCTGGGATAGCTGGGATGGATGGGAGGGACCCTTGGGATAGCTGGGATACACTGAGATATGTGGGAGGGACCCCTGGGATACACTGGGATAACTGGGAGGGACACCTGGGATAGGTGGGAGGGATGGGAGGGATATCCTGGGATACCCTGGGATACCCTGGAATATTTGGGAGGGACCAGGAGGGACTTGAGGGACTCTTGGGATACCCAGGGACCCTCTGGGACAGCTGGAAGGGGCTCCCAGAGACACCTGGGACACCCTGGGGTAGCTGGAACTGCTGGAATATCTGGGAGGGACCACCTGGGATACCCTGGAATATTTGGGAGGGCCTCCTTGGGGAGGGACCCCCAGGACATCTGGGAGAGACCCCGGGGAACCTCTGGGACAGCTGGAAGGGGCTCCCAGGGACACCTGGGACACCCTGGGGTAGCTGGAATTCCTGGGATATCTGGGAAGGACCCCCTGGGATCCTCTGGAATATCCGGGAGGGGTCCCCCGGGCCGGGGGGGTCAGTGATGAAACACTCGGATGCCTCCGACGTGTCCGTGAGGAAACCCCAGAGGCTGTTTCTGAGGCAGCCCCGGCTCCGGGGGGATCCTGTGGGATCCAGGCAGGATCAGGGCCCCCCCTGATCCGTGTGACTCCCCCGGGGCAGGATTTGGAGGGGAAGATCATCGTGGACGAGCTGAAGCAGGAGGTGATCAGCACCAGCAGCAAAGCGGAGCCGCCACAGTGCACGTCCCTGGCGTGGTCAGCGGATGGGCAGGTGAGAGATCCCAGGGATGGGGACACTAAATATGGGGGACCAGGGATTGGGGACCCTAAACATGGGGGACAGGGGGTTGGGGACCCTAAATATGGGGAACAAGGGGTTGGGGACCCTAAATATGGGGGACAAGGGGTTGGGGACCCTGAATTTGGGGGACAGGGGTTGGGACCCTAAATATGGGGGACAAGGGGTTGGGGACACGGGGATGGGGGATGAGGGGTTGGGGACCCTGGATTTGGGGAACAAGGGGTTGGGGACCCTAAACATGGGGGACCAGGGGTTGGGGACACTGGATTTGGGGACAAGGGTTTGGGGGACAAGGGTTTGGGGATCCTCCATATAGGGGACAAAGATTGGGGTCACATCTTGGATGTGGGGGACAAGGGTTGGGGGACCAGGGATTGGGGGATGAGGGGTTGGGGACCCTAAATATGGGGGACAAGGGGTTGGGGATCCTGAATTTGGGGAACAAGGTGTTGGGGACCCTTAACATGGGGGACGAGGGATTGGGGACCCTAAATATGGGGGACGAGGGGTTGGGGACCCTAAAATAGGGGACCAGGGGTTGGGGATCCTCCAGATGGGGAACAAGGGGTTGGGGACCCTGAATTTGGGGGACGAGGATTTGGGGATCCTCCACATGGGTTTGGGGACAAGGGTTTGGGGGACAAGGGTTTGAGGGACAAGGGTTTGGGGGACAAGGGGTTGGGGATCCTCCATATGGGGGATGAGGGTTTGGGGATCTTCCATATGGAGGACAAGAGTTTGGGGACCCTGGATTTAGGGGACAAGGGTTTGGGGATGCTGGATTTAGGGATTCTCCATATGAGGGACAAGGGTTTGGGGGCACTGGGCTGGGGGACCAGGGGTTGGGGACCCTGGATTTGGGGAACAAGGGGTTGGGGACCCTAAACATGGGGGACGAGGGATTGGGGACCCTAAATATGGGGGACAAGGGGTTGGGGACACGGGGATGGGGGATGAGGGGTTGGGGATCCTCTGTATGGGGGATGAGGGTTTGGGGACCCTGGATTTGGGGACAAGGGTTTGGGGATCCTCCATATGGGGGGACAAAGATTAGGGGACACATTTTGGATGTGGGGAACGAGGGGTTGGGGATTCTCCAGATGGGGAACGAGGGTTTGGGGACCCTGGATTTGGGGGACAAGGGTTTGGGGACCTTCCCTTCCCTCCCTGGGGTGTTGGGATCCCCTTGCCCAGGTTTTGGGGTCCCCCCTGACCCCCTTTTCCCCCTTTCCCCCAGACCCTCTTCGCCGGCTACACCGACAACCTGGTGCGGGTTTGGCAGGTGACCATCGGCACCCGCTGAGCCCCAAAACCGCCCGGATTCACCCCAAAAACAACAATAAAAGGCGCTTTTGGTGCAGCTGCAGCCCCCACCTGGCACTTTTTGGGGGGTGGCACTACGAGATTCTGGGGACAAAACCCCTGGAAAAGGGAAAAAATAAATCCCATCGGTGTCCTCGGGGTGGGATTTGGGGGTTCCTCGACTTCAGGGTTCAAAAACCCCACAATTCTCCCCCCAAAAATTGATAAATTTAGGATGTGGGGGGTGATTAATGTCCCCCTGGGTATTTCCAGAACGTCCATTAATTAATTAAACCCATTAATTAATTAAATGAGAGGTTTAACAGGGAATTTCCCACCCAGCAGCTCCAATTGGGCCTAAAGTGCTATTTTTTTTTTAATTAATTTGGGGCTTTTTTGGGGCCTTTTCCAGCAGGGAAGGGAGAGTTGGGATCTGGACACGCAGCTCTGAGCCCGCCCTATTTAATTAATTAAAGAATTGATTAATTAACAAGGATTAGGCAGGATTAAGGAGCTGGTTTTGTGATCTCAGGGGACCCCAAAACCATTTTTGGGGTAATTTTTTGGGGGCTAATTCACCCCAAATCCCTCCCGGGATCCCCCCCAAACCTGGAGCCTCGGCTACAACTTCTCTTCTTTATTATTTTTAATTATTGACATTTTCATAAAACTAAAATCTCCATTTAAGTTTTGTTTTTTTAGCCAAAAATATCCCGACCAAGCTCTGAAACAAAACGCCAACAGGGAAATTCCCAAATCCACCAAAAAACCAGGAAAACACACGGGAAGAGGGGGGGAAAAAGGGGCTCCCGAGTGGGAAAGGATCCGGCTGGAAAACAAAAAAAAGGGGGAAAAATAAATATCCCAAACTCAGGGAGCCCCCATAAAGTGCCAGAGGGGAGGGGGAAAAATGGGATTTTCCCCCCAAAAAATGGCAGGGAAAGGTTGGGGAGGGAGGAGCAGGAGAACGAGGGAAGAGCAGGAATGTTGGGAATGGGGGGCTCGGGGGAATCCCAAAAAATCCAGGCACCCAAAGAGCGGATTTTTGGGAAAGGAGGAGTTTCCAAATCCGGGAGGATTCGGCCCCAAATGCAGAGACCCCCCCGGGGGTCCCAAAACTCCAAAAGTTGGGAAGGAACTGGGAAGCAACTGGGAGGGGGAGGGAGCAGCTCCCAGCACTGGGACATGGACTGGGATCTGTCCCCAGTCCAATCCAAACCCACCTCCAGGGGGGGGGGGATCCAGCCCAATTCCAACCCAAAATCAGTCCCAAGGTGGATCCGTTCCCATTCCAACCTTAAATCCATCCCGACGTGGATCAATCCCAATTCCAACCCAAAATCCAACCCAAGCTGGATCCATTCCCGTTCCAGAAATCCATCCCGAGGTGGATCCATCCCAATTCCAACCTAAAATCAGTGCCAAGGTGGATCCATTCCCATTCCAAGCCAATCCCAGTCCAGGGGGCAGCTCCTTTCTGGTTCCAACCTGAAATCCATCCCAAGGTGGATCCATTCCAATTCCAATCTAAGATCCATCATGAGGTGGATCCATCCCAATTCCAACCTCAGCCCATTCCCAAGGTGGATCCATTCCCAATTCCAAGCTGAGCCCATTCCAAGGTGCATCCATTCCAACCCAAAATTAGTCTCAGGGTGGATCCATCCCAATTCCAAGCCAAGCCCATTCCCGAGGTGGATCCATCCCCATTCCAACCCAAAATTAGTCCCAATGAGGATCAATCCCAATTCCAAGCCAATCCCATTCCCAAGGTGGATCCATCCCCATTCCAAGCCAATCCCAGTCCAGGGGGGGCAGCTCCTTTCCCGTTCCAACCCAAAATCAGTCCCAAGGTGGATCCATTCCCATTCCAACCGAAAAACCATTCCAAGCTGGATCCTTGCCCATTCCAAGCCAAGCCCATTCCAAGGTGCATCCATTCCAACCCAAAATTAGGGTGGATCCATTCCCATTCCAAGCCAATCCCAGTCCAAGGGGGGGCAGCTCCTTTCCCATTCCAAGGTGCATCCATTCCAACCCAAAATTAGGGTGGATCCA